GATATTAACTATCTTAAAGGAAGTTAGTGCTTCCTTATAATCTGTACACATTGATTAAGGCATAAATTTTTAATCTATTGACCATCCTTGAAAGACAATGGATTCAAACAAAGATACAACCTAGCAGCTAAAAGCAGAGTCATCAATACATATGAATAGTCAAGTAAGAGATTGGATTACTTTGATAGACTGTGACTTAAATATTTATGCTCAAAGAGATCATGGAATTGTCATTCTGTGGCATCATAATAGAATGAAAGCTTCGCTTATTGACATTTACTATCATGACCTATGAACACGATTTTAAATGAAAAATATGATAGATAACTGTTGTAACTTTTTTCCTGCAAAGTAAGCCATTAAAAAGATGCTTTCGTTGTTAATTACACTGGCTTCTATCCATGAGTAATTGAAATTCGAAGTTCTTTCTTTCAGTGTCTTCAAAATAGCAACATCAAAGGGAAAAATATTATTTTAAAGCAAGTGCCAAAATGAAGGTGTCAGCATCATATTGCATAATGCAGTTAGGAATAATAGGTTGAAAATCTCTTGGGAATTTCTGCTAAAGGAGCAAATGTGAAACTGATTTCAACTGATTTTCTCATCTCCCTTTAACTAGTTATTTTCTATGAAAAGCTTCTGTGAAAGCTTCAGGCAATTATGGAGGTTAAAGGAGAAGGGAAGAATGGGCAAATATTCCATCACAAACTTTCTGCTTTCTGAAAAGTCCCATATAGAGTAAATCTCAGGAAATGTTCTTTTGATAGGAGGAAATTTTGGAACCCATCCACAGGTTGTCAACAATCTGATGAAAATATATTTGAATATATATAATGAAAACTGTTTCCTTTTCTCTAGGCGTACTATTTGGAGGGTTGTGTACTACAATGGCTGTAGCTGCATCACTCATGGGTGGTGTTGTGCAGGTAACTAAACAATTAAATTTTTGGTATGACCTTGAATTTGTATCATCCTCCCTGAATAAGGAAGTTTCAACTTCCATAGTGAGAAAGTGTGACGGATGGTTTTAAAAGTCTAGGAAACTCTGCTCAGATTAAATTCATAGACTGCTTATCTGCTATTAAACCCATTCATATTCATATGTCATCGGTTGCTTTCCCTACGCATTATTATCAGGAAGAGTAATCATGGAACCTATTTAATTGAAACAACTTTTCTTTTTGATTAAATTTGTTATCTCTTTTATCCTTGAGAATAAATAAGGCATTTAAAAATATAGGCAATGTATATATGCAGGATTAAATTGTATTTCATTTGCATTCATGAATCCTAAATCATGAAAGTATGCTAGAGCCTCCTGCTTTACCATGTGTACCATGTCACATATACCACAGAAATCTCCTGGATGAACCTAAGAAACCAGAAATTATGGTTGTGATAATTTTACATATTTATGCACACGTTTGAGTGTCTTCACAAGCAAGTTCTTAGGGCTGGTATTTAAATAAAGGATGATTAGTTGCCTCTTCATATGAGTTTAATAAATAAATAAAAAGACTG